TACAGTCCAGCCATATCTAGTTCAGGAATAGAGGAGGGAACTCTATAAATATAACCATTCTCAATAATTGGTGGGGGGCAGCACATTAATGGAAAAGATATGGCAGTAGTATTTGCAACAATCTTCAGTCAGAACTGCTGAGTAGCTGATTCATCAGCTTCAATGGCTGAAGATTGCCAATTTGATTCTCTCCACCTGATAAAGAAGTGACTGAAGGCTGCACTGGATACTGCAAGTGCTGAAAACCCTGACAATGTTCATGCAAGGGTACTAAAGATTTGTGCTCCAGAACTTGCTGCACCCCTAGCTAAGCAATTCCAATACAGCTACAACACTGCCATCTATGTAATGATGTGAAAAATTGCCAGGTATTTCCTGTACAAAAAAGACAAATCCAACCCAGCCAATTACTGCCTTTCCAATCTACTCTCTATCATCAGGAAAGCTTTAGAAGGTGTCACCAATGTTGCTATCAAGCACATTTGTTTACCAGTAATCTGCTTAACAATGGTCAATTTGGATTCTGCCAGTGGCACTGCGTGCCTGAACTCCTTACAGCCTTGGCTCAAACATGGACAAAAAAACAGAACTCCAGAGGGGAGGAAAAGAATAACTTACTCTTGATATTAAGGCTGGATTTGACCAATCGTAGCATCAGGAGCCTTTGTAAAACTATAGTCAGTGGGAATTAGGAGAAAATCCTGCTGTTTGGAGTCAAACCAAGCACAAAGATATTTGCATACTTACCTCCAGAAAATCTCCGAGTTCCTCAGGATAGTTTTTTTTTAAGTCCAACTGTTCAGATATGTTGTTATACAGCTCTGGAGCCCTAGGAGCTTCCTGATTTGCATAGTTCAGTCTTACCTATTGCCTTTTACCAGCTTAGATTTAGGTAACTGTATGCTACTTGCAAAATATTCTATATAGAATTATACCATAATACTATACCATAACTGGTATGGTTATGAATCTAACACCAGAATAGGTAAACTACATAAATGGGAAAAGCAGGAAATTTCTCAAATCTTCCAAAGTGCAACTACATAGAGTCATAGGGATATACAACACTGAAATAGACTCTTCAGTCGAACTCATCCATGCTGACCAGATATCCTAAATTAATCCAGTCCCATTTGCCAACATTTCATGCATATACCTCAAAACCGTTGCTATTCATATAGCCATCAAGATGCCTTTTAAATGTTACAATTGTAGCAGCCTCTACCACTTGCTCTGGTAGCTCATTCCATACACCCACTACCCTCTGCATAAAAAAGTTGCCCCTTAGGCCCCTTTTAAATCTTACCCCTCTCACCTTAAACTATGCCCTCCAGTTTTGGACTCCCCCACCCCAGGGAAAAGACCTTGTCTATTTACCCTTTCCATACCCCTCATGATTTTATAAACTTCAATAAGGTCACCCCTCAATTTCCAATGCTCCAGGAAAAATAGCCCCAGCCTATTCAGCTTTCCCTATAGCTCCAACTCTGGCAACATGCTTGTAAATCTTTTCTGAACTCTTCCAAGTTTAACAACATCTTTCCTATAGCAAGGAGGGCAGAATTGCACAAAGTATTCCAAAAGTGGCCTAACCAATGCCCTGTAGAGCCGCAACATGACCTCCCAACTCCTATACTCGATGCACTGACCAATAAGGGAAAGCATACCAAATGTCTTCTTCACTATCCCATCTATCTGCGACTCCACTTTCAAGGAATGTCTTAACTATCTTTATTCTCCTGTTATTGTTTATTTTACTTGAAAGCATGCTGTCATTTTTCAAAAGCAAGAATGCTCAGATGTTCCATTTGTATAATTTCAATTTGATTTGATTTGATTTAATTTACTGTCGCATGTACCTAAGTACAGTGAGAAGCTTTGTTTGCGAGCAGTGCGGACAGATCATAGGCTTAAAAAAAAAACTTGGACAGAGTAAGGCATACAGGTTACACCGCATAGGATGTGAGTTAGGCAAGATCAACATTAATTGAAGTTAGAGAGTCCACTCATTAGTCTAATAAAGGCAGGGAAGAAGCTTTTTCTTGAACCTGCTGGTGCGTGTGTTCAAACTTCCTTATCTTCTGCCTGATGGAAGAGGTTGAAGGAGAGTGTTACCAGAGTAGGATGGATCTTTGATGATGTTGGCAGCCTTTCCACAGCAACAAGACATGTAAATGGATTCCATGGATGGGAGGTTGGCTTCCATGCTACAGCCTGGGCTGTGCACACAACCTTTTGTAGTTTCTTACAGTCCTGGCCAGTGCACTTGCTGTACCAGGCCGTTATGCACCCATACAGTATGCTTTCTATGGCACATCTGTAAACGTTGATGAGGGTCCTCACAGACATGCTAAATTTCCTGAGCTGTGTAGGGAAGAAGAGGCGTCGTCATGCCTTTTTGACCATTGCATCTATGCGGGAAATCCAGAACAGTTGTTGGTTATTGTCACTCCTTGGAACTTGACGCTCTCAACCCTCTCAACCTCCACTCTTTTGATGTCGATGGAGACATGTTCTCCTCCTTTCTTTCTCTTGGAGGCATGATATGAAACAAAACAGAGCCAGAGGTTATGATCTGAAATCAGTGAACTCAAGTGGAGTCCAAAAGGATATATAGTGACCTGACAAAAGATGAAATGCTGTTCTTTAAGCTTACAACAAGCTTCATTGAACAATGTAGGAAGTTGAGAACATAAAGATAGAGAATTAAAATTATAGCTGACCAAAAGCTTGGCTGATGAATGGAGGTAATCTGCAAAAGTCACCCAATACATGTTTTGTCTCTCTAAAACCATGCAGGCTATGTAGTGAGCAAAAAAAAATTGTACATAAGATTGGAAGAAATGCATGTAAATTGCTGTTATACCTGGAAGGAGAATTTACAGCCTTGGATGGTGAAGGAGAATAAAAAGGGTAGGTGTGCATCTCCTGTATTAGCATGGAAAGACGGTATGGGAGGGAAGATGTTGGATATATTTTAGAAATGGATCAGGGTATTAGAGGATGCATTTCTTTTGGAATGCTGATAGCAGAGGAAAGGGAAAAGTGTGCTTCATGGTGGCATTATGCTGGAGATGGCAGAAATAATGAAAGGTAATCCAATGAATATGAAAACTGGTGGGATTGGAAGGTGAGGACAAGGGGAACGCTATCTCATGATTCTGGGTAGAAGGCAAATGAGTAATAACAGAAGAAATAGAGCAGACACAATCAAGAGCCTTGTCAACCAGTTGGGACAGAAGCATTGTTTTGGAACAGTGCATCAACAGAAAAAAAACTGAAAAACTTGGGAAATGGAATGAAAGTAGGGTGTGAGGAAGTGTAGTTGGGGTAACTGTTGGAGTCAATGGATTTAGTAACAGTCAACATAGTAAAAAAAACTAGTTTAGTGGAGCAGACATAGGCTGAACCAATAAAACTTCTCTGGTAGATCTATTTGTGGATCTTAAGGAGATATAATTGGTATCTTTTTGGTTTTTGAGGATTATGGGGTTAGAGACCCTGCTGTGTGTCTTGGACGTTTGGTAGTGGGGCCATGGTCTTTGAAGTTCAGAGAAAGTGTTGGTGTTTGACTCTGCAAGGTAGAGGTTGCTTCACTAGACAAATGCAGCACCACTTTGGTCAGTAGATTTGAAAATTTCAAGAATAAAGATTAGAGTGCAACAAGTTCAGAGATAGACAGATTAGACTGAGTGAACGGAGAAGAGAAATTGAGACGGCTGATGTCACATTAGCAGTTTTCAGTGAAAAGATCAAGAGATAAGGGCTATTACCTATTATTTTACTTTTCTAATCTTAGCGAAGAAATTAATGAGAAAGAAACATGCTTACGCACATGTAAGACAAAAAAGGTCAAGGATACACGGACTCTTTGCAAACAATAAAATACTTTGATGGATCTATAGTTTAGTATCCATATCTTTTTTACCAATAGAATAAAAATATGGTCCAGATCCACAACATATAAACTTGTCTCCTTTTCACACTGTCTGTTTGCAACATTTTGTCTTTATTTGAGACATCTAGTGGCTGCTTTTTGTTTCTTTCAGACTTATAGTCTATTCTCAGGTTACCCCACCCAACCCGATAACAAACCAAGGTTTATGATAATTGAGGTTTAGCAAAAATAACATTTCCAAATCTCCTTACAGACTCTGAAATCATTTTATTACTGCTAAACATTATTCAAATTCTTGAAAATATAT